GATTTCTCATTCCTCATCTGACATGTAGTAGTCAAAGAGATATTTTTCATTGTTTAAGACATTATTTCTCTCAATCACTGTCAAATCTCTGTTGCTTGCTTCTGCCATTTCGGTGGCTAGCTGAAGCATGAAATGTCGACATCTCCGCATCAACATTCTATTGTTCTCCTTCTTAATTTTGCTAACTGCTTTTTCATAGTCACTCACATTTCGTCTAGCCATGGTCAATGAGCGATGATGAGGTGCCGGTGCCCCAAAGTTACGTAGATCATTAAACAATCTTTCTTGCTCCGTTGCCCTGAACGCCTATTCTGCTTGGATACCAGCATAATAATCCTTCGAACTCGAGTACTTTTCGCTCTTGTAGTCATAAGTAAATGGAGGTAGCAGCCACACTTTCGGATTTCTTTGCCGGCGTGAACTTCCTGCACCTCTTGAAGACATTGTTCATAAAATAAAAAAATTAATAATAATAGTAATTGTAGATATATGACTATTGTTATGCCTTGAACAAACATCATACTGGGGGTGTCGCTATTTATAGACATCATACTGAGGGTTAACTAGAAATGATCTAGGGTGCCCCAAAGTTACGTAGATCATTAAACAATCCTTCTTGCTCCGTTGCCCTGAACGCCTATTCTGCTCGAATACCAGCATAATAATCCTTCGAACTCGAGTACTTTTCGCTCTTGTAGTCATAAGTAAATGGAGGTAGCAGCCACACTTTCGGATTTCTTTGCCAGTGTGAACTTCTTGCACCTCTTGAAGAAATTGTTCATAAAATAAAAAAATTAATAATAATAGTAATTGTAGATATATTACTATTGTTATGACTTGAACAAACATCATACTGAGGGTAGCGCTATTTATAGACATCATACTGAGGGTTAACTAGAGATGATCTGGTGACAATAATGCATGCCGGGGCACTATGGAAGAAGTGATACCCGTGATATTATTTTATCTTATTCATTTCATGCAATCTTGAGTACCTGTGACTTTGTGTACCTGTGATGTAGTCACGGACATGGTTGTCAGATAAAATCATAATTGTAGGCCGTCCTTTTCACAATGCAATCCCTTCATATTCGAGCATTAAGTTGTCAAATTAATCAGTAATGCAGTGAGTTGTCACATCGCCACATGAAACTATTTTTTCATACTTACTTTTTTAATACAGTAAGTAGTCACTTAGAATTGACGATTTCAGTACAAATTGGTATTTTCAAAAAATTATAAATGAAATCATAAAACGAAACAGCAGCTTTAATTTTCTTTGTTTTAAAGTAATATTGTTCGTAAACAACTATGAAACAGAGTGCAAGTAAATACACAACCGTCCAACTCACTTCGACCTACAAAACTATCGTTGATTTTTTCACAAAATTAATAAAATAGCCACCTGATATGTTAACAAGATTGGCACTGCAGCCTATATTTTATCTTATTTTCACTTAATGAACTTCACAGTCATCCCATTTTCTCCTCTTTGCATTTTCTGCTTCTTTTTATATTTGGTAAATTACACTTCACTCCTTCAGTCCTTTATATAATTGTTTATCAACACTATTGCCATGTGGTCGTATTAATGTAACTTAGATGAATTCTGAAATGTGAGGAAAAAACAAAGCATCTAAGTTGCGCTGCACAAAGTCACATGCATCACGTAATGTGAGGGAAAAAAGTCACAAAGTATGTAATTTACCATGTCAGAAAGTCACATGCATCACTGCATAAAGCGACAAGCATCACTGCACAAAGTCACATGCATTACTGCATCACTGCACAAAGTCACATGCATGACATGCATCACTGTATCGCTGCACAAAGTCACATAGCATCTGAAGAAAAAACAAAGCATACAAATTTTTACATCTGTTCAAGTCACTGCACTGCATCACTGAGAAATGTTGGACGTATCACTGCGTCGAACCATACCTACTGTGGCCATGTGAATTCTGCAATTCATAATGGGATGAGGGGGTATCAGAACAAAATAACAAAACAATTAATGCCTTTGTGTTTAAATGCCACCCTATGCAACCCCAAATAGATTCATAAACGTTGAAGATAAAATATTATACAGTTACAATGTATTGAAGATTAATTTGTAGTAAAGTTAGAATGAATGAGTTTTTCGATGTACAGAACTTGAAAGTGTTACAAATAAAACCTAACCTAGTATGTAGACAAGAACAAAACTGATTTAAATCAACACATAATTAACTTCAAATTAAATTGGTCAAATTTCTCCAATTAAATTAAATGAAAAAAACGTAAGGTAAAAAGTGAAATTAAATATATTGTCAAGGCAAAATAAAGTGAATTATATTTGTAAGCGGAAAAATTAAATTAAATTTCTAAGCGGATTTTAACTTTACTTAAAACCTTCAGATATGCACTGAGTAGTAAATAAAAGTCGAAGTGACAACTCCTATAAAGTTGATGCATAGTTGTTCAGGTCATAAAAGTTGACGTGACAACTCTGATGCATAGTTGTTTACAATAATTTCATACATACAGCTACCATGTGTATATATGGTTCAAATATTGCATCATACCACAACAAAAGTTTTATAGCTATTTCGAGCGATATCATCATGAGATATACGGTGGTTGATCTATATTCAGTAATAGGTCACTATTGGGTTGCAGATGGAGATGAATTTCAATACCCTTTAAATCCAAATTTGCGTTACTCACATGCCACCGTCAATACCATGAGAGCTGAGTGGGAATTTCGCATAACTCCAGCAAACGTTCTCGTTGAGCTATGTCGTGAAGTTAATATTAAATTTCCTCGCCGGTTAGCCATGTGTATGCCAACTGACACTCCACAGTTGTTGCAAAGGGCATTGCATCGTATTCGCGATGAAGTTAATCGCATGACCCAACGTTTGCAAAGGTCCGAACTAATGAAGATTGCAAATGAGCGTGCCGAAGATGGGTTAATGGATGATGCACACCAGTACTTCGCCTGGAGCATGGATGTCATGTATGAATCTGATATTGAAATGTCAAATGATTGAGTTACTTATGATTAAATTATACTAACTTTATTTGTTTTGCAGAATGATGGGTCTTACTAACTTTTTATGCAAGGCTGTCCCACCATATTTTTATTTTTATTTTTTTTATTTTATACTCAATTTATATTTCGTTGTGTACGAGCAAGAAACTAAATGCCACCGTATCTCGGGAAACTACTAATTCGTCTAGGTGCGGATAGAACTACTTATCTTATCCCGTAACAAGAATTAAATGTACTTTATTTGTGTCTGGTGGACACGTGGGTGTCAAATATTTATATTCATACCAGTATACTTGTATACTAACCCGTTTTGTCTCTTGACAACTCGAGTGCGTTCTATTTGATCGCAGTCGAGCTTCCTTTGCATGATTAGTTGGGGGCTATGGTGGTGACAAGAAATAACTATAGTTATTGGACATGTCTTTTGGACTTCTTTTGTTTTCTTGAGCTTAAGGTTGATATTAGTTTATATATTTATTATTATTATTAATTTTTGACCTTGGTATTTTGATAATTTGGCATGGTTTGTAAGTTTATATTATTTAAGTTATTTTGATTATTTATTGTTACTTTAATGTTGGAGATACTGGTTAGTTATGAAATTATGGTAGATGGTTTGGTTGGCGTTTTGTTAGTTTTTTTTTTTTTTTTTTTTAAATTCCTTTTTTTTTTTTTCTTTTTTTTATATTATATTAAGCCGTTTTGGGAAGAGCACAAAAACGCTTGCATTTTTGTTGCTATGGAAAAAAGCTGAGCCAACTATGTTAACAAATTATGTAGAATTTCAAAGTTTGGCAAGGTTATTTTGGTCATTTTATTTTGATTTGATGCCATAAACAAATATTAACTAAAAAAGTCAAAAACTAGCTTTTTACCAACTTCTCAAATCATTTTCTAAAAAAGCCAAATAGCTTAGTAAAAAGTTAAAATAGTAAAGTACTGGGAGATGGAAAAACACGCTCGAGCGTCAAAACCAAAGGGCATTGCATCGTATCTGGGACGAAGTTATTCGCATGACCCAACGTTTGCAAAGGTCCTCACTAATGAAGACCGCAAATGAGCATGCCGAAGATAGGTTAATGGATGATGCACACTAGTACTTCGCCTGGAGCATGGATGTTATGTATGAATCTGATATTGAGATATCAGATGATGATGATAATGAATGATATTATTTGGATGAATGACCAAACCATTTATCTTGTAATGATTTGTAATGCTTATCCACGACTTATCAATGAAGGGAGATATTTCAATTGTTTTTTAAGAGTTTTTGTAATTCTACAAATAACAAATACCTTTTCTTTCTCTCCGTTTTGTTATTTTGAAAAACGCTTTCAATACCAGCCACTCCATGCGCTCACTCTTCTCTTCTCTTCTTTCTCTCTCTCTCTCTCTCTCTCTCTCTGACACACAAACACTCATCCCACATACACACACCAAACCACCAATATAATTTTTAATATATATAAATTTTATTTTATAAAATTAAGACCAATATTAAATATATAATAATAATTTATAATAGCAAATAATAATCAACTATATGAAATTAAGACCAATATTTTCAAATAATTTTTTTTTTCTATTAATTTTTTTTTCAATTAATCTTTTATTTCACTTAAATTTTTTTCAAATATTTTTTTTCCCAATTAAAATTTTTTTCAATTAATTTTTTTGAAAATTCTAAAAATCTAACCATACATAGCCTAAAAATCTTTTGATAAGTCATTTCTTACGTTGGTAACTTATTTAATTATTTGTTAATTTTAAGACATTTTTACCAAATTTAAAAAACTATCATAAAAACTTGTTTGATAATTTTTTGTAAATTTGAGGAAAAAACATAAATTACTATAAATAATGCAGAGGACTACAGAGAATGAGAGAGAGATAGAGATGTGAAAGAGATTTTGAAAATCATCAAAATAAGTAAAAACAAAAAATTGTGAAATTATACTTTCAAATAAATAAGTATCACATTTACATCATCTGTACAAGCTTGATTTATAAAAACTATAACAATTACTATAAATAAAAAAAACTATACACTCCATATCACACCCGCTAATGCCCTAACCTGCCCCCAGTCCCACAACCCCGACCATGGACCTCCCTCCTCGGTCTCCTACGGTAGACTCTCTGAATATCTGGCTTTCCCAATCGTAAATGCGTATCCAGTGGCACTCCCTCCCCTGCATGTGGCCCTCCACTGACTACCTATGGAGCTTGTGAGTGTGACCCCCCCTCTCCTGCATGTGCTGCCCTTGATCCTGTCTCTGGTTGAAGATCGGATACTATTGTGAGCTGTGAAACTCCCTCATCTGCTGCAACTGTATCACGATCTGTAGCTGGATCTCCACCTCGACCTCGACCTCTGCCTCTGCCCGCACCCCGACCTCGGCCGCGACGTCCGCTACAACCATAACCTCGGCCTCTTCCTCGCGCTCTGGAGGGGCTCAATATGGGCCTCATCCTCAACGTAGGAGATGTCAGTGAGAACTGCATCATGTGTGCTCATGGTCGCGGTCGAACTAGTCCCCAAAAAAACAGGTGGTAACTAGGTGGGTGGGGTAACAACGTCATGCATATATCCGGGCGGCGTCTAATTAGGGTCAGCATGCTGGGTAGGATATACGTGTGGGGAATCTGGAGAAATGTATGAGGTACCATACGGTGGGGTGACTGAAGTCCAAGGACTTGCTGTGGCTGGCGCTGAAGTGGAAGGCACTGACATGGACGGGACTGATGTGTCTTGAGCAGCGGCTACACTGTGTACATCGTAGTGGCCAAAATGCAGACGATCTACCCAATGGGCATACTGGATCCCCTCGTACAATAACTCTCGGATCTCTACAAGGGCCTGCATCGCATGCTGTCCATCACGTTTGAAAAGGGCGTCCTCAGCCAAGTGATATGACCTTTCAGCTCAAACTACCTGAACAAAAATTCAGACGTATTAGGCTATAGTTGACTGAAAGTAAATCAATTATGATCTTAACAATTATCTGACACATACTATGATACTCACCAATGTCTCGAGAGAAGGCCCAAGTCCCTGATATTCGGACTCAGACAGGTGGCTCGGATTATCGACTAGTAGGTGTGTATGCCGCCGATACCACAACATGTAAGGGTCGGAAGAGGGGAGGACCTCATCGTTCTAGTCAGCCTATACAATACTGTCACGACGGGCATCCCACAGCTGTATATATCGCATATGATACAGACTCTAGTCAGTGTCGGCTCGGCCACGTCTACCAGTCGCATGCAACCGCCACTCGGTGTCGCATCGATCCGGCACGGACTGGACCCGACCAAACTGTCGGAGGACACAATCAGGGAGATGCACTCAACCACGTCAAAACAAATGAGTGGCACTCTCGCCATCCATATCTTCTCACCTAGTCGGCAATAGTCTGGGAGCGTACTGAGGACCCCAGCATAAGGCTGCCAGATAAACTACAATAACGACAAGTCTATTAAAAATCGCTCATGAACATATACACTCCATATAACAATTAAAATTTAGGTATTTAAATTTCATACCTCGCCCTCTATCATCTGGTCAAGCTGGTCTCTATACACGATGACTACGTGGGTCGATACAACCTCGTGGCCCATGTCAACCCTCCACCGGCTACCTCGAGGTCCGGCTGGCAACTGCATGTCTCCTTGGCCGATGGAAACTTCACCAGGAGCAACCACTTGCCGCCTAGACGGGGTAATGCGAATCAATCTCTCCCACGCCCAAATCTGCAATAGTTTGAACGCAATTACAATACTGATATATGCCATACAATATGAATTGACATGTAATAAAATTCTTACTAACCTGTAGCAAGACAAGGGATCCTCCGATCTCCTTCGCATCCATCTGAGCTGCTCGACATAGCATCCTATACAAGCATGCCAAAGTCGCGGCGCCCCAGCTGTACTGGCTGATCGCGCCAATGTCTCTCAACAATGGCAAGTACATCAGCTTGAGTAGGTTCTGTGACTTATCAAGAAGAAGTACCCCCCAATAAGCCACAGAATATATGCTCGGGCATGCTGCTGTACTAACTCATCTAGAGCCTGATCTAGAAGATGGCCCTGAAACTGCTCGAATAGTCACCTCACCCTCAGTCTACCTGCCTGTAAGTTTGTAGGTATAGGTGCTACTCCTAATAGCTCGGCACATAGGGCTATCCACTGGTCCCTCGTCAATGATGGGTCAGCTCCAATAACTGCTCGCCTATCAATCCGTAGACCATATAGGATAGATACATCCTGCAATGTGACGGTGGCCTCCCCGATTAGGAAATGAAATGTATGAGTCTCTGTGCGCCACCTCTCGACGAGAGCAGTGATGAGTGGGTGGTCTAGTATAATATGACCTATACGATAGACACCATAGAATCTCGCGCGTAATAGACACTGCAAGACTCTATGGTCCAATGAACGCTCCCACAGGCCGAAATCTCCCCGCCGGCATATCACCACGGTGCGTGCCTCGTCCTGCATAACAGAATGACTAGTTTAAATTATAGCATTATCACGTAATATAAAAAAAAAATGCAAGGTATTTTCATTGTAAGCATAAAGTCCAACAGACGTTATTACATATCGGATCCTCCCATATACTGTCAACCCGATGTGGATGACTGAAAAGTGGGACCTCATCAGGTAGATGTGTCATGAAGCCTGTACAAATGAAATACTAGATCATAACAATAAAAATTTCATTTAATCATAACATGAAAACTGTAATTATTCCATAAATTACGATTTGTAAAAGAAAAGTATGCTCAACTATTTACAAATTTATATTTGTGTGACACCATATATGGAAATAATTCACTAAAATGTAATTAATTTTTATTTAAAAAAACGGTATTGGTAAGCATGTAATTTAACTATAACAATTAAACTCTAATTATTCCATACATGACGACTTGAAAAACAAATGTGGTCGATTATTTTAAAATTATCAATTTGTGTGCCACTAACATGGAAGCAATTCACTAAAATCTAAATTTATCAATTTATGTGCCATTAAATATGATAAGCAATTCAACAGAACCTACCGTTATCTATGATATAACTAATATAGAAATCTTTTACAAAATAGTTTTAGGGTCTCGGTTACATAAGCTTAATAATGACCAGTAACATGTGGATAGTTTTCCTGCATAAATATTTGTGAAAAAATTGAATGAGAATTTTTTTTTCAATAAGAGGTTGCTAATGACATTTATGGCATATTTGACAAAACTTCATTATTGATTTTGTAATGGTAAAAGTTCCAATAAAGTATAAAATTTGTAAATTACGTAGATCTGATTCATAAATTGTAAATGTAAAAAATGCTTACAGCATTCGAAAATATTAAATTTATTCATAAATAATAAATTTTAAAATGGTAGAAAAACTATGTGATTTTCACTAAAATTTGTAATAGACATTTTCAATCAAGTAGAGAATAAAAAACATAGGCCTATGTGGTATAGTTAAATGTTTTTGCATACATATTTAGTTTAATTTATTTATTTAGTATGTTAGTTGTAAATTTTTTCAAGGAAATCAAACAATTACAATATATAAAGAATTAAAAATTAGAAATGATCTGTTACAAATAAAAAATGATCTATTTAAATGTACGACTCCGTTTACAAATAAAGAATTAAATGATCTATTACAAATAGAGAATTAAAAAATGATCTATTACAATATGTAGGTATTACATAGTCTTCATCGACCAAGTCGTATCGGACATGTTCGCCTGTCATGACCTGTCTGCTGGCACTCAATGATCTATTTAAATGTACGACCCTGTTTACAAATAAAGAATTAAAAAATGAAGAATTAAATGATCTATTACAAATAAAGAATTAAAAAATGATCTATTACAATATGTAGGTATTACATAGTCTTCATCGACCAAGTCGTGTCGGACATGTTCGCCTGTCATGACCTGTCTGCTGGTACTCACTGCAACGAGCGGTCAAACGCCTATCTGATATATCCATCTCATTTGGAATACGAGACATAGATGTACAACCCCGTTTTACTTCTCGCAGACGATGTACATTAGGCATTAAGGTCCATTGCGGATTATCCTAATAATCTTGATGCAGTTTTGGATTGAATTTAGTTTCCCAAACCCTCATGTATATAGAAAACCTATATACTAGATCAACGTACTCGAATGGATTGTCACCGCATTCAGATATTACAGCGAGCATATGGGAACATAGATAGTGTCTTATCTCATATTTCCCATAACTGCACGTGGGTTGATTCATCTGCACAATTTGTGTATTGTGACCTCGTCCATGGCGAAAAGATGTTTGCACCTCAAATACGCGGCGGGGCCTATCAGAAAATTGTAATATAAACTAATCAAGTTCATGTTTTTAGGTGTACTTAACTTCACAACATAATAACAACAATTTAGTTTATATTACAAACTAACCTGTCATACGATATCAACTTGAAAGTATTTGCCCTTGCGATGCCATCCTCAATAGTTTTTTGCATCTCTCTAGGGTATTGGAACTCATTTCGTACATCTATTTCAACTTGGGCTCCCATCTCGTCAAAATATTTTACGAGCCGCCGAAATGTAAATTCAACCATAGCTGAGATAGGTAAGTTCCTTGCACCTTTCAAGACGCTATTGAAGCACTCTGCATCATTGCTGGTCAATACCTCCCACCGATATCCACCGTCATACGCAAGGGCCCACTCCACAGGATTCATCTTGTGAACCCAATTGATGGCATCTTGGTTAATAGCCTGTATTTGTTCTAAGTAACCATTACACTTTCGTCGTTGATGAGCACTCTCTGCTTTCCATGGAAGTTGTTTCAGCTCCTTATTTTTGAACCTAGTGTTAAAGTTACTACAAACATGTCGAAGGCAGTGCCGATGATATCCAACAAATTTGAGCGAGGGATTCAGCCAATGTCGCCTCACAGTAGCTAAAATACTCTTAGCTCGATCAGATATCAAAGTCACTCCCTGTCGGTCCGTGACAATATGTTCTTTGATATTTGAAATAAAGAACGACCAAGACTCCAAACTCTCCCTGTCGACAACAGCGAATGCAAGTGGTAATACTTTGCCATTGGCAGTGACAATCGTTACTACAAGCAATACACCAATGTATTTCCCGTATAAGAATGCACCATCTATGTTTATAACAGGCCTACAATATCTAAATCCATCGATGACGGGTTTGAAAGACCAAAAAACAAAGTGGAAGACGGGCATATTGGTTGTACCTCCGGTATATCTATGCTTCCATTGCACGATGGTGCCAGGATTAGATGTTTGTAATGCATTCATGAATTTAGGCAACAGCCTATATAATTCATCCCAATCCCCGAATACCATTTTAATTACCTTTGCCCTTGCATGCCACGCCTTCTTGTATGATATACTATAGTTCATGGTCTTTTTGATATCTTCGATGACATTCTTAATTGGCATATCAGGTTCATTCTACATACAACAATATCTATGAGTCAGATTATTTTGGTGTGAACACTATAAACAAACAAATATGTATATAGATGTAAACATTTATTTTGTATACTCACCGCAACTTGTCCCAAAAGATAAGAAGCAATGTAACTAGAGCTAATATTAGTGTGGTCCCTGTTCATTCGTGGGTATAAACAATGGTGAGGACCCCTATACTGTTTTACTTCAAAAAGACCATGTATCCTACTAAGAGATGCACGCAACCACCATCTGCAATCGTGCTTGCAAGCACATACCCAAACGTCTCGCTTGGAGGCTACGACTTTATACTCTCGATTATTTGTTGCATGGTACAATTTCACAGCATGTACGAGTTGCTTCTTATCAACGAAAATCATCCATTTGTCCAACTCTGGATTTTCAGCGTTCCAGATTCGGTTACGTGGAACGACATTGCGGTTACTAATGTCAAATTCACCACCCCTGTAAATGTTTTCATAGAAAGGGATTTCAGGTCTAGGTGGAATGGGGGCATTCTAAATATCAACGGGAGCGTCGGTATCATCTTCTTCATCAAAATCATCTGATTCGCCCAATAAATTTTCTTCATCACACATTTCATTCTCATCATTGTCTAGGGCGACATCAGGACTGTAAATGTCACTGTCAACAAACTGCACATAATTCATCGTTTCAGCCATATAACTTCAACTAGAGTGGTATGATGGCTGTAGGTGGGCACATCTTCCGTGTTATTGTGAAATTCAGTCTCATATCCACTACGTGAACTTGATTCTACACCACGGCCTTGAAATGTCTGTTGTGTGTAGCCCACTGCATAACATTCATTTGATTCATACATAGGAGACTGAAATGTTGTCGTGTCAATCCCATGTGTCAGCAATGTAGTGAACGGACGAGAATCCATCTGTGTCATATTCGGGACATGGTGTACAACCTCTTTATCAATGTACACTTCCAAACAATTTGGTGGTTGAAAACTTCCACCGATACTTAATACAGTATTCAACGCCTCATCGTCATTGATTGGTAATATTTTCTATTTGCTGGTTGCTTGCCACTGGCGATAAGGATATCTACATTTGAAGATCAATCAGACAGCTTCCCCGTAACTTGCCACCTTGGACATAAACATCTCCTCAAAATTGCTAAGTGTGGTGCCAAGTTGCACCCCATATATCCCTTTCGACTCAGCATCATATGACACACCTTCATCGGGATCCCAAATTATGTTTCCTCCCAGTAGAAGATAATTGGAACAGTTGCCATATATTTGTTTCAATGAAACAATAAACATTAAAATATCAACAATATACATACATCGAATTTTACTTCTAAAATAATTATATGAATTTTAAATCATTTAATTACAATTACTTGTGAGGCAATAACTTTATTTAAGTAATCAGTAATTGTAATCCAACAATCATTATTCATTTTTTAATTATAATATGAGTTAAAATAAACCTTCTGTTTTGGATTTTTTAGCTTTTTTAAAAAAAAGCTTACAACACATAAAGAACGGCTGAGATTTCATCTCTACGTGGAGTTTTTTTTTTAGTGCTTATTTTCTCATTTTTGTTCACTTATTTTTATTCGTATAAAACAACGGCTGAGATTTCATCTCTACGTGGAGTTTTTTTTTACTTCCTATGTGGAGACTCTTATCTTTTCTGCGTGAAGGTTCTTTGTTGTCATTGCTTTCTTGTCTTAATTCATAAAAAACATCAAAATAACTATACTTCTTGTCTTAATTCTTTGTTGTAAATTAACCTGCTTTTATTTTTGTGTTCGTTATTTGAATTTGTTTAGGCGGACACTTGGTGAAAGGAAGTTGTGGGAGTCAAAAGACAATTTATATTTTTCTATAAGTGACATTTATATCATAAGTGACATTTTCCTATAAAAATAAGCCCTCTTATTTTTGTCAATTTATATTTTCCAGGGTAGAAGGAACTGTAGAGGTGAAACATTACTTCAATTTATATTTTGTCAGCTGTGTATTTGTGTCTCAATCTGTTTATTAGTGTTTATTTTCTCATTTTTTCTCACTTATTTTTATTTGTATAAAAAAACAACTGAGATTTCATCTCTACGTGGAGTTTTTATTTACTTCCTATGTGGAGACTCTTATCTTTTCTGCGTGAAGGTTCTTTGTTGTCATTGCTCTCTTGTCTTAATTCAAAAAAAAACATCAAAATAACTATACTTCTTGTCTTAATTCTTTGTTGTCATTAGTCTTTTTTTATTCTCATTCTTTTTGAGGTTGGATATGCTTTGTTCATATGATCCTTTTTTGAATTCATATACATGTATAGATGTCCTATACAAAAATATTTATTGAACTAGTGGTCAAAAATAAATTTTGAATCACATAGCAGCAATAACTTTAAATTTTGAATAAGTCTAACAATAAAAAAATGGTTATAAAACTGTACACAAAATGTATATAGATAGATAAAATTTTTCAAAATAGTAACAAACTGTATAAAATTTTATACGTATATATGTATTTGTATTCAATTTTATGATCAATTTTGTTTGTTTATAACAAAACTACAAGATTTTTAGCTAGTGACCCATTTTGATTTACAAGATCTATTAAGGGACAATTCTAAAGATTACAGTTATGGCAGAGTTTAGAGGAAGATCAGATACATGCATGCGTATTATTCAATATCCAGAGACGGTGTGTTTGGTTTGTGTTTGTAGAGTAGTTTTTGAGATAAAAAATACGAAAACTTATTTGGTTTGCCTTCTTTCAGAAATAGTTGTGGAAAATTATTTTGGGAAGAGAGTTTTACAAAAAGTGATTGATTTGATGTGTATGACAGATAAAGTTATTTTGGAAAATAGGTAATCAAACAAAATTTTGAGATTTTTTTGAAAAAATTTGTTTGGTTTGATTACTCTTGAAAATTTGTTTGTAGAGAAATTTTCCCAAAAGTTTTTATGAAAAACAAACCAAACAAGCCCATTATTTCTATGATTTGAATCCATAACACTCGAATTATAATAGATTTATTTTATTTTATATTATTATCAGTATAATAAAACAACCTTACCATTGCGGCAATGGCCTCCCTCCCTCAATATGATCAATTTTTAAAAGGCATTTACTGAAAATAAATAAATAAATAAATAATAATAATGACTCTAAACAACCGTTAATTTAGGCAATGATTTAATCGTACGCATGTAAGCGAGACCAATTTTAAAAACACTTATTTTGTTTTGTTTTCATAAATCTTGATATATTTTTTAGTATTTTGATAAAGTAGACAGATATATCACACATTTAAAAAACACTTCATTCTATCAAATATTTTTCTTATTCAGTGAGATTTGACAAAATTGGACAAGTCATACAAACATCTTAAATCATAGTGTAAGTTTTGTATGAAATTATTGTTTTTTTCATTGAGTTGAAAGAACTCGATTGATTTGGACAATATAAAATAGAGGTTTCAAACATTGTTCTTCATTTTTTAAAACTGGTGATCCAATTCTTCAGATTTATGAACAATTAAAGATAAGTTAATTTGATTTACTCAAACTTATGCCATTAGGGACCTTAATGACAAAGTTATTTCCTATGTGAAATAGTAACCCTCGTCCACTTTTTAGAGGTCCTAGAGGCTTTGTTATGAAATGCAAACAAAAAACTCATTTTGGCTCGTTCAATACCCATTTCAAAAACTTTTTCAAATTTTCTTAAGTTTTGTGAGGAAATTTTAATTTCTACTATAATGCTATTATATGTATTACAAATTCAGCTCATTAAATTTTTTAAAATTTCTATTACAAGATTATAAAATTAAATGTTAGTATTTTATGACGAAATGTCTTCAAATTATTCTAATAACAAAAAACCTTTAGCGAAACCCAAATGAAAATAAATCCTAAGAATTTTTTATAATATTTTGGGTGCCTGACCCCAAATACAGTGAAATAAACCAAACGAAACTAAACCAAACAAAGCTTTATGTCCCAATCAAGTGGACTACGATACGTGAATCATTTTTTCGTCATTTCGTACTATTAAAAGTTATATGCATGGTTAAATTAAATGAATTCGTTTAATTTTTTTACTATTACATCCAAAGTGAATTTACGTCTTCCCCTAACATTTCCTTTTAGGGTGATCCTATCACATTCTTCTTTACCATTTCATCTGCTAGTCTTCATTGTACATACCAAACCATCTTAGTTTGTTCTCTCTCAACATATTTTCAATTGGTGCTACTTCTACCATTTAATGTATATTCATTTCTATTTCTCTCTGTCCAAAACTTACCAAACGCCCACTTAAGCATCCTCATCTTAACTACACTCATTTCATGAGTTTGTTGTTTCTTAATTGTCCAATATTATGTGAACTGCAAAGTATCATTGGTCTTACAATTGTTTTATAAATTAACAACGTCAATTTTGTTAGCATCATTGATCACATAATATGCCAAAGGCACTCCACTTGAACCTACTTTGATTCTATTACAGGTGGGAATTTCTAACACAACATGAATCGTACACAAGGTTAGGGGTTAGGGTTGAACATTTTCAACACAAACACAAATATGACACTATATAATAACATGATAAATAAATAGGGTTATGTCAAACCTGCATAATATGAAATTGACACATATAACCCATTTAATAGATAGTTAGTTACAAATTTTAATGTTATTTTCATTAAAGGATGCCAGAAATGTTTAAATCTCTTATGTAACCTACACAATTAAATAAAGAAAATACGTAAAATAGTATTTTCAGGTTAATATAGTCATTTTGTCTTTTATTTGAGAGAACATGATCTTTTAATTTATTATTTTGAAGTTAATAAAAATATTTTTTTTGAATAAAATAGAGTCAAAATTAAATATATTTTTTTGAATAATTTCATTTAGTAGAGATTAGTTTCATGAAATTTAACTTAGGAAAAAACGTTAATCTTTCCATACACTTAGTATTTTTAATTGAAATTCATATTATGAAATTCATATTTGTCATTTTTTTGAAAGATAAAAATTGACTTTAACCCCCTTTACTTTACTCCATGTATGATTTACCTCTGATATTTGAAAATAAGAACATAACCCCCTTATGACTTATCACATGTTTCACACTTGATGTTAACTTGGATTGAACATCTGACGGTATACTTCATTTAGTCCACAAACCACAAGAACATTATAGTTATTTCCAAATTATTTGGGTAGTTTGCACATGTACATTGAAATGAAATTTGCCCTTTATTAAATATGCACAATGTCTTGAATTGAATAAATACACCTAGAGGGTAAAATAGTATAGTGAAATAAATCAGGTGACAAATACCATTTCTCATATAGTATAATAGACGGCAGATTCAAGTATACAACCCCACCTTGATATTACCAAGTGAAATACTGAATAAAGGTGTATATATATCTAGTACTATTATAAAGAGAAGTCTTCTCTGAGTGTTTATATCTCATATTTTGGATTTTTCAAAAATACCCCTATAGCAGTTATGTGGGCAGTTATGCACTAAATTCTTTTTTCTTTTTTTTTTCAAATCTCTCAACTTTTGAATTTTTCAAATTCATTTCAATTTTTAGATTTTGAATTCAATCATACAGTTTACAGTCTTATTTTCTGAAACAAGATGATCATATATATGTAAGCATGTGGACCTCGAATTGAAATTGCCAGTCCACCTTAATTCTCAATTCATGAATTTCATAATATGAATTTCAATTCTCAATTCTCAATTCTCAATTAACAAGCAAAAAATAAGAAGCAAAATATGAATTTCATAATATGGATTTCAATTCTCAATTCTCAATTCTTATAATATGAATTAGGGTTTTAAATTAGGGTTTTGAATTCACAATATGAATTTCATAATATGAATTTCAATTCTCAATTTAATTCTCAATTCTCAATTAGGGTTTTGAATTTCATAATATGAATTTCAATTCTCAATTCCTTTTATTAACAAGCAAAAAATATAATTTCCAATTCAAAATTCAAAATTCAAAATTCTAAATCCTAATTTCAAAAAATATAGACAGGATTCACAATTCAAAATGCAAAAAAATATAGACACGATTCAAAATTCAAAACCCTAATTTCTGAAACCACAAGCATAATTTCTGATTTCACAATTCAAAACCCTAACATTTTATGATTTTATAATTTCATAACCACACATTTAAAACCCTAACATATTTAACCACACATTTTATAATTCAAAATCCTAACACATTTATGATTTCATAACCCTAATTTCTAATTTCATAATTTATGATTTCACATTCAATTGAAAACCTTAAAAATTTTCACAATTCAAAACCACAACATTTTTACCAATTCAAAACCACACATTCACATTTTCACAAACACAATAAACACATAAAATACAAATGAAACAGAGAGAGATAGATGCCATACCATGGACAGAGAGAGAGAGCAGAGACAGAGAGTGAGAGCAGAGACAGAGTCTGGGAGCAGAGGGAGAGCGAGAGCAAGAGGGAGAGTGAGAGTCTGAGAGCAGAGCAAAAGGGAGAGTGAGAGCGAGAGTCGAAAAAAACGTAAGTGTAAAAAACATGATTGCAAATGAGGGGGCTTAGGGGTTTTATATAAGTTGTAAAAGTGTAGTTTCAATCCACGCTTTCATTTATCAACAGTGAAAGCGTGATTGTGAATCACATTTTCTTAACAAAACAAATATGCACAGTGAAAGCGCGATTTCGAATCACGTTTTCTTAACAAAACAATATGCACAGTGAAAGCATAGTTTGGAACCATATTTTCTTCAGAAAACAAAATTTAAACAATATGCACAGTGAAAGTGTGGTTTGGAACCACATTTTCTTCATAAAACAAATTTAAACCACGCTTTCTTAATTAAAAGCGTGATTTGTAATAACGCTTTCATTATTCATTAAATTTTTTGCTCCAAACAGTGAAAGTGTGATTTGTAATAGCCTATTATCCTAATTTAGAAATTCTGTTCAAATTAGACTTAATTTGATAATTAAGGTAGTAATTTGGCTTAATATGAAAAAGCCTTCCGCTTATGATTTATACTGACCCTATAAAAGGGAAAAAAAAACAAAAGAAAACAAAATAAAGGCTCAAATTAGAGGAGAAGAGAGAGAGAGAGAGAGTGTGTGTGTGACTGCGTGAGAGAGCAAGAGCGACTGCGAGGAAGAGAGAGCGACTGAGACACAGAGAAGATCGAAGAAGAAGAGTTCAAGATCGAAGAAGAAGAACGTAGAAGAAGAAGAAGCCGAACGAAGAAGAAGAAGTGTACCTTAGATAACTGCAACGGCAGCGAACGACGACCACCGACGAGCGACGAAAGACCACTGACGACTAGGTTTCTCTCTGTTCTCTCTTTCTCTCTTCTGTTCTCTCTATCGATTTAGGGTTAGATATTGTTTGTTTTTTGTTTTTTTACAAATTGACCCCACAAAAGTTTCATAAATTATGAAATTGACCCCGAACGTGTCCCAATCGTGTCCGCTAGGTACGTGTCCGACTGGCAAAAAATAAAAAAAAAATTCGGACACTTTCTGCTGCGTGTCGCACGTGTCCGTGTCTGACACTGATACGCAGTCGTCATAGAGTTGTCCGTGTCTCTCATAATGGCTTCTGATTCTTTCAAGATTTGCTTAGGAAGGATAAAAACTAAGGACCAATAAACTTATATGCTGAAAAGAACAGATTGAACAAGTTGGAGCCTACCACCATAACATAAGACAGAAATTTAGTTGTCCAAATGTTGATTCTATTGATCATTCTCTCATTAAGTTGGTCACACTCTGCAGCTTTTAGTCTAGAGGAAATCAGAGGAACCCCTAGGTAATTAACTGTCAATTTCCCTTCTGGTATTGGCAAAATGGATAACAGATCAGACTTAGATTCATTTCTAACTCCATCGAGGAAGGAAAAAAAAAAAAAAAAACCTACTTTTCTGAAGATTATGTTGTAGGCCAGATAGAAGATGGAACTGAGATAACATACCCTTCATGATTTGGAAAGAGCCCCTATCGGCTCCACATATAATGAATAGATCATCAGCAAATGCCAATTGAATGAGATGTAAGGCCTAAACTTTCCAATGGAAGGTAAAACCACCTTCTCCCACTCTTTGCTGCAGCATTCTATAGAAACACTCCATCACAATTGAGAAACACTTAGGGGAACATAGGATCACCTTGCCTTAGACATTTTTTTGCAGGGAAATAATCAACTAGTTCTCCATTTATGACTACTGAGTACATAACAGTGGAAATGCACACCTTAATCCAACCAACAAACCGAGTGGGGAATCCCATGTGTCATAGATACCAATAACAAATTCCAATCCACAGAGCCATAGGCCTTGATTAAATCAATTTTGACACACACCTTGCTGGTCGTTCATTTCTGTGTTAAACTCTAACAACCTCCTGCATCAATAAAATGTTATCAACTATTGATCTATTCTTGACAAATGCTGATTGTGAGGAATTGATAATGTCAGGGATAATACTCTACATTCTTCTAGCCATAATTTTTGCTATACATTTGTAAGCCTAAAATCTTTGACCATAATGGGGTTTTTGACCTGAGGAATCCAAGGTGATAGTTGTACTTCCAAGCTCTTAATAAATGGCCTGAGGAAAATAATGATTTAACTGCTGTACTCAAATCCTTCCCAACCACAGCCCAATTTGCTTGGTAAAATTTGGCATTAAACTCAACCTGAATGGAGAACAAAGCATTTTTAACTTCCAGATCTGTTTCCTCCTTATCTATGAGCATGATTCCCTCCCTGGTGCTAATGCTTAAAATCTTATTATACATCCTATGCACCCAATTTCTAGTGGGAGAATTTAGTGTTATTGTCTCCTAATTTCAACCATGTAAGTCTGCACTCTTGCTTCTTGAATGTTTCTTCAGCCATACTATTATAAACGGTTTACAAAATTTATTGAATTTCTGTAATTAAAAAGTTGGTTTCATTTGTTAAGAAAATAAAATTTTATTCCTTCTCTCTCCTATCATCAAAGAAGATGATTTTGGTCGGGAGGCTGAGGTTTGTCTACAGATTAGTGACTCTCTCTCTCTATGGATATGAGGTGGTGTGAATGAACGAGAAGTTGTAGAAATCTTCTGTGAGGTTGGGGTTTACGTTCTAATGGATAAGATTAATTGGTAAAGGTAGTTGAGCCTCGGGATTTGCATTGGAGTTGTTCTTTCAAGCGGAAGCATGTGGATTGAAGAAGAATGGGTTGTTCGCATGCTGAAGGTCAATCAGGCATTGGAATGTGGAATTTTGTTAAGCCTATTGGATGATTTGAATTTCTGAGCTCTTCTTTTTTTGAACTTTACTCGTCTTTATCTTTCTTTTTGAATTCTCAGTTCTCCCATTTTCTAAATTCCTCTATTTGTGAATCTTATTTTCATTTTGAATCTTCTTGTTTTCTTCATTTTTATTTTGGGCTGCGATCGTTTGTGGCAAGAGATGGTTGTTTTGCGACTAATGTCAAACCGAAAGAGCTACCAGGGGTCGCCTTTAAGGTATAGATGTGTTCAGGAGATCATGTCTTTTGAATTCTCAATTCTTCTTCTTTTTCTCCTTCTGAATTCCAGATTCGCTCTTCTTCTTTTTTTTCTTTTTTCTTTTTAATACATTCTTCTCCTTCTTTTCTTCTTCTTCATCATCATCATCTTTTGAATCTCTGAACTCTTCTTCTTCCGAACTGCACTTTTCTCTCTCTTCTTCTCTAAATTCTCAATTCTTCTTTTTCCTAAATGCCACAACTTATGAATCTTATTTTGTTTTGGCATCTTCTTCTTTTTCTTCATTATAATTTAGGGCTTTGATGGTTTGTGGCAAGAACTACTCGATGTTTGTTTTCGTAAAGAGGGTGTGGTTAAACATGATTTCATTCGTTGGAGGAGGTTGCCGAGGCTTTTTCTACAAAAGATGGTGTTTGCAAGAGGTATTTGGTAATTGCATGTGTTTGTGACCGATGGAGGTCACTAACGATGGTGGTCGGAAGTGCAAGTAACCGGATATGGGGGTCGGTGATGGCGATGAGCAATGGGTGGTGGGTCGGAGGGAGTGGGAGGGGAAGGAATGAAAATTTTCTTTTCTAAACAAGCAAAACCAACATTGACATTTAATTCTTGGAATTTAATAAATTTTGTGAACTATTTACAACTCTTTGACAACAAAAATTGACACCTAATTGCTTCTCTTTGATACTCAATTTTTTTTTTTATGCAAACACAAAGCTGTAAAAACAAACGCTCTCAGATAGGGCCGGGTAACGTTTAGTTTGACTAATTTTTAAAAAAAATTATAATTGAATGCTCGTTAGGTTTCTATCTTCGATTTCAAATAATTATAAACAATTTACAAAGTTAACATATTTCCTGGAATTCAACATAAAAGTTGGTTTCGTTTGTTAAGAAAATAAAATTTTATGCTTTCCTCTCTCTCTCTCATCCCCTTCGGCCACCACCCCCATAGGTCATTACCACCACTGGCCATGACCTTCGGTGAAGTTGCTTTTGGTAACCCAATGACGATGATTCTAGTCGAGAGGTTGAGGTTTGTCTGTGGATTAATGACTCACTCTATGGATATGAGGTGGTGTGAATGAATGAGAAGTTGTAGAAAGCTTCCTTGAGGATGAGGGTTACGTGCTTGTGGAGAAGATTAAATGGTAAAGGTAGTTAATTATTGGAGTTTTGTAAAATTGGAGGGGTGTGAGTCAAGTTGTTTGAAGTAGATGCATACAAGTTGAAGGAGAAGCTGTTGATTAGTTATTCTTGCATAGTAACATGTTTAGATTATTTAGGAATCACATTTCGTGAGAATCTGGCTTTGAATTGCATCAAAGTAGAGTTTTGTTGGGCTTTCTTTTCTTTTCTTTTCTTTGTTCAATTTTTACCTATTTTCTTTTAGGATTCCTCTTTCTTAAATGATATGATGTTTGCAAAAATTGTTTGAATTGTGTATTATAAATATCTTGAGGAAATTAATTTCATGAAGTTTGGAAATACAATTGATTTGGGGCTCCTGTGTTGGCTATATTTTGTACAAATTTCTTTTTATCTCTTAGATTGTTTGGAGTTTTTTCCTAAAATTTGGTAGGTATGTTAATAACATATAGCGTAGTGTCCTCAAAAACATGAATCCTAAACTTTAATAATTTTCTTCACTATGTTTTGCAAACATGAATCTATTTTTATCACTAGGGTAGTGTACTAAAAAACTTGCATATGTTTTTATTCCTAACCTTTGTCTTTTGAATATTTTGCGAGTTGTTATGGAGATAGGAACCTTTGATCATGGATAGAGCTTAAGGAAGGAGACCCTTTGCTTGCTCATTAGTTTGTTGCCGCTAACAATTATGTACTCTCCCTCCCCGAAGTGAGATATAACTCGACATTTTGGTATTTTGATTAGTGTGGCAACTTATTAAAGAGTTTGCAAAGTGGCGTCGACATGTGGTTTATTTATTGTTTATTTATTTCTGTCATTTCCATTGCAGAGAGAGAGGAAAGAGATGTGGTTGGGTGGTGGAACTGGTGGAGGAGCTAAAACAGCCTTTGTGAGGTACTTCTGTAGGAAATGTGCACCAAATGTGAGGAAGATCAACCCGAAGGTAACCCCCCAAGAGGCCGCCTCCATAGCTCAAGGTCTCTATCAGGTTATCAAGCAACACGGCCCTCTCACTGTCTCCAACACTTGGAACCACGCCAAGGTTATATCTACCTCTGTCTATCTCGCTCATACATGTTAACTTGAAAATTGAATATACTAGGAGCATGGGATTGCCATTATTGTTGGTTACTTATAACAATTAAACAAAAATTCTTCATCATGGTTAATTTTACGCAAATTGCTTTGCCAAATTTCTTTAACTGTTGTGAAGGATCCAGGCTAGTGGATCAAAGAGGATAGTTTGGAGGTAAGACACTGTATTAGCTAGATTGGAATGTCTTTACAATTAGATTTCAGTTGTGGAATCCAACTACAAGAAGTAATTCATTATTTTAGAAATTAAACAGTTGTTTGTTCAACATTTACCCACTCGGTAATCATATGGAACCAGTAAACAAATAATTTTTTTTTTGTTAGACCAGCTGCATTACGGTAGTCGTATGGAGCCATAAACAAACAATTTTTTAATAAGAAAAGCTGCATTATGGTTATTTCTATGATACATTGTGTTTGGGTACTTCCAATCTTGTTTTCACTAATTTGCATTTTATTTTCTCAATTTACCCTTTTGTCATTTGTAATGTCTTTTTTTTTCCCCCCCCCCTTTTTGTACATCTATTTTCGGCTTTCAAATCATGTGCAATTTTCTACCA